TCTTACACTGTTAAATTAGGGACGGCTAGTGCAGATAGCTCTCATGTAGCTTTGCGCGAAATTTAAAACAAACAAACAAATTATTACAACTGAACAGGAATGAACATTTTAACATATCTAACTGACAAACTATATACTGTAATAAACTGTAATTTATGTTATGGGAGTAATAAAAGGTTTAAAATATAGTTCTATTTATGTTAAAGCTTCGTAAGGACAGCTACTATTTTATATGAAACTATAGAAACAAACTTGCCACTAATGGACAAAATTTGTTCCTCTTTCTTCAGAGTAATATTCCAAGACAATGTAGTCATAACAGTAACTGAATAACCATTTCAGGGGTTTATTAGAAAAACGGCATTTTAATTGAATTTTTGTATTGGGGGTGTTTTATCGGTTAAAACTGAAAATCAGAAGCCCTATTTATATACCATTCCTTGCTAAAATCATCTTATAATCAACATGTGTGTACTTATAGATAACAAATAGTATCACATTCGACATAGGCTGGCGTGTAACCATGGTTTACACATCTGCACAATTTAACAAACCAGAAAACGCAGGGATGAAATATATGCACTCCTGTCATTAATCATTGATTAAGTTAGATATTTTCCAGCTACGTTATATTTGAAACAATTAGGGAGATATAAGTGTATGCAGTGTATAATACACAATAATAATAACATGAGAACTAGTTAATGTTGCAAGAAATGATCAATAAATATTGTGGTTTTTATTTGTGGCACAATTACTTGTCATTTTCAGAAATGTTATAAATTGATGGTGTTACAATACTCAGTTGGTGAAAAAGCCAGAAAACGTAATTCATTTACATTAAGAAGTGGTGCTTTCTCACACACAATATTTTTCTTACTGAACAATCCTACCAGCATTGCTTTATTGTGCTAAGAATCACATATTCTTTTAACTAAGTAAACAAAAAATATTGATAGCTTTGACCTTTTACTATTTTCTGTACAATTTATTGTTAAACTGTTCCTTATGGGAGTGAACAGAAGTATGTGGATGTACACATCTGCATGTCATGTATTTAACAGCTACATTAGCTTGGCTGACATATGGTGATGTAAGAGTTAACACAGGTATGTGGATGTACACATCTACATGTCGTGTTTAACAGCTACATTAACTTGACTGACATATGGTGATGTAAGAGGGAACACAGGTATGTGGATGTACACATCTACATGTCATGTGTTTAATAACTACATTAGCTTGACTGACATATGGTGATGTAAGAGTGAACACAGGTATGTGGATGTACACATCTACATGTCATGTGTTTAATAGCTACATTAGCTTGAATGACATATGGTGATGTAAGAGTGAACACAGGTATGTGGATGTACACATCTACATATCTTGTGTTTAACAACTACATTAGCTTGGATGACATATGGTGATGTATGTGTGAACACTGTGGTATTATGCTTAACTGTACACACCCAAGTTAGTCAACGTCTGCATGTCATGAACTTTTTTTTTACAGAATTACGTTCAAAATTTAATTAAACACTTTATTATCCATGTATCAATACACTTAACATCAAAATAGTTTTAATTTCTTAAGTTCAAAATGAAATGTTTGAATATTTTTCAGTTTTCACTTAACTGTGTGGTGTCACTTCATTCCTCCAAATTTAGATGTTCTCTCTCTACCTCTACTTGATCTTCTGACTTTGGTCTGCAATTATGCCATATAAATTTATATGTTCTTTCTACCACGATCTTATCTTCTGACCTTAGTCTGCACTTATACTATATAAATTTAGATGTTCTCTCTACTCCAATCTGATCTTCTAACTTTGGTCTTCACTTATACTATATAAATTTAGATGTTCTCTCTACCCCTACTTGATCTTCTAACTTTGGTCTGCAATTATACCATATAAATTTAGATGTTCTCTCTACCCCTATCTGATCTTCTAACTTTGGTTTGCACTTATACCATATAAATTTAGATGTTCTCTCTACCCCGATCTTATCTTCTGACCTTGGTCTGCACTTATACTGTATAAAGGCTGAGGGGGAGGTTTATAACCTGTAATCTCTTGCTACAAAAGAAACCTATTCTTTTTTACAATAATATATATCTGAAGTGTAGGTTTATAACCTGGAATCTCTTGCTACCAAATAAACCTGTTCTTTTTTAGCAATAAGCCCGATGGGGAGGTTTATAACCTGGAATATCTTGCTACAAAAGAAACCTGTTCTTTTTACAGCAATAAGGCTGATGGGAAGGCTTATAACCTGTAATCTCTTGCTACAACACAAACCTGTTCTTTTTACAATAATATATCTGAAATGGAGGTTTATAACCTGTTATCTCTTGCTACGAAATAAACCTGATCTTTTTTTACAACAGTAAGGTTGAAGCGAAGGTTTATAACCTGGAATCTCTTGCTACAAAATAAACCTGTTTTTTTTTAGCAGTAAGGCTGATGGGGAGGTTTATAACCTGGAATTTCTTGCTATAAAAGAAACCTGTTCTTTTTTACAGCAATAAGGCAGAGGGGAGGTTTTATAACTTGGAAAGTCTAAAGAGCAAGTGTGCTGGAAGTCTGTTTTCTTTTAGTGTGTTAAGGAATATATTCAAGTTTTGAGGAGTTATATGTGCATTATAGCTCACAACAGATTAATCATTTTATACATGCACTTGATGAGGCTTGTAATGTGTGAAATATCATTTGCAAACGAGCTGTGAATTATGGAATACTATTTCCCAATGGTATTGATAGATTAAGTGGCTACATAACATGTACTTTAGTTTTACACGTTACGACTTTTACATTAAGGAAGAATTTTTTATTTCAACAGGTATTTTATTTGTTTTATTTCTATTATAAAAAAATAAATCAAGCAGAAAATCAGTAAAGGTAACTAAAAAGATAATTCCTTCAGTTTTTGAAAATGATTCCACAAAATTAACTGCATCTGAAATGGAGTTCAGTAACTTAATTCAGTAGCATAGTTGCACATGAGTTCAGTTTTCACATCAGGTTGATTCATTGTGATGAAAACAGAAATAGTATATCTGGTCAGTGTTTAAAACAGGAAAGCTTTTGTTGACAAATTAATATAGTTTTTAACATAGAATTTTATAGTCCATAATTGAATTTTCATTTTCTGTGTAATGGAAGAAACAACAACTAATATTATGGCTTTTCAGTCATATTCCATACACCTAAGAGCGTATAATTTGATTGAGTACATTTACACTTTCCACCCTTAAACTATAGTTTTCATTATTTGAGGCATTTAATATCCATTTGACATAATTTTGCATGCAACATCTAATTTAATTCTGATTTCATCATTATTTTCACATGTAGAAATTTACTGAGCATAAACTGAAAATTACATTTGTCTTGGTATATCACAGCCAATATATTTTATCCATACATGTGTCAAACTTATATACTGTTCACAGCCAATATATTTTATTCATACATGTGTGAAACTTGTATACTGTTTACAGCCAGTATCTTTTATCCATGCATGTGTGAAACTTGTATACTGTTCACAGCCAGTGTCTTTTAAATATGTATGTGTGTGAAACTTGAGCTGCATAAGTGGGTTGTATTATCACAATTATATTTCTATGGGTGTTCCTTTAATAGGCAGTTGCTGCCCATTCACAGTCAATTCAATATAAATACTCTACCTAAACCATCTAGTAAAGAAAATTTGAGTTTAAATTATATTATTTCGTTTCAGTGCAACCCTTCACAGTTTCTAGCAGTAGTCAGAGCCTTAAATGTTGTACAAGAAAATCTGAAACCTTTGAGATGCACTGTGGAAATTGAAGTACAAGCTCCAACACTAAAAGCATTAGTTTTAGAAACAGTTGAGTTGCTTGGAGACATTCAATTCTATCTTAACAGTCTGGATGAGAAGGCTGCCAGGTAATTTTCATTATGTTATATTTAATCAAATTAACAGGCTTATTAATCTTGTATTTTTTATGATCAGTATTGACTCAATTGTAGAATTGATCATTTATAAGTTAATTATGAAAGTGCATTTTGTGTTCACTATTTGTTCTTTCATATTGTGTGTAACTTGGGTAAGATAGTTGCTTATAGGTTACAGTAAAAGTATACATTATGTGCACATACAGTATAAAACTTAAGGAGACATTTTTGATAACAAGGAATTCACTTTTTAGAAAGTAAAGTTTGGAAACAGCTTGAATGGGTAATGAAAGAAACTACCGTAAATTTGCAGTATTTCGACAAACTTGTGTCAACCTCAGATACAAGTAGTTTAAATTTACAGTGTTTTGTATAGATATACTGTGATGTTTTGAGTTGTAATAGTGGTAAATATAAGAGGGTTTGTATTATATTTGGTAAATCTGGTTCTCAGTTTTCTTCTGGTTTCTCCGATGTAGAATTCTGGACATTTATTGTATATTATTTTTATAAACAATGCTGGTATTGTGTAATTTTACTTTGTAATGACTTCAGGCTAGGGCCAGGTTTTTGAGTGAATATTAAACAAAGAGCCAAACACAGAATAAAAGAAGCTATCTTAATTGAACAAAACAGCCTTACTCTAAACCAACACCCTGGAGCACCAAGATATCTATGTAAACTATTTTTACCTGATGATGACATAATCATGTTGGAACATTGTACATTTATAATGAAGTTTTATGCACTACTCATTTAAGTCAATTCCAAACTTTATTTAATAAAACATTATGAGGTGATTAAAATAACTGGCATAAAAGGATTGGACTCGGCTTGCATTGATTATTTTGTGTGAAATCTATTGCTTTCTTACTCTCAGAATTTCCAGATAAATAGTGCTAACTCAGTTTTTGTTATTCAGACATTTTGATCTGCTTTACTTGTGTTTGTATTATCTAAATTGAACTTAACAGCCCATTTGTTTAATTTTTCTAACATTAAAGTACAGGAATTATAGATGAATGACAATTCTAGAATTATATAATCTTGAAATCATAATCAAACTATTGGAGTTACAGTATTTTCAAGTTTTTATTCTTTTGATGATTTTTCTTAAGAAATCTTTTTGTAATGGACAGCGCCCTTAGGGCTAGCTTTGGAGTTTTGACTGTACTGCTGATTACACCAAACTTATTTAATTGAGGGTTGCAGTGGCGAGTGGAACTCACAAGTCACTAACTCAAGGAGATTTACAGTTAGACGAAAGAAACTGACCCTGAGACTGATATTCAACACAATACACCAAGTTTATTCAAGCTTCTTAATCATAAAATACACTTTAGTAAAGCTTTAATCATTTGCTAACTCTTCATAAAAGAATACTTTTAGGTTAACAATACTGATACTTATAACTCACACATAACATAGTATACTTTCTTAACTTTCATATGATTCTTTAGAATCTATCCAAATTCACATTAATTGACTAAGAGAGAAGTAGTTTCATTACTTACAACACAGTTGATCTGGTAAAATGTTGAAGATTGGACATTTTCATGTTCATGTTTTCTGGATTATCAGCAACTCTGGGGAGAACCTCCATTCTTCCTGGAGAGAACTGATTTTTAGCTCCAGACACGAGTTTTTTTTAACCATATTTTTTTGTATTCTTTCGACTTTTCAAATAGTATTCCTAACTACCCGCAAGTAGTTCTAACACTTTATTGGTCAATCTGTGCAACTCCCCAGGCTATTCCAAAACAAGAACCAAAACTCTCAAGTAATTGGTTACTGTGATCGTGAGTACTCCAGTTGCCTTTTTAC